GAGATGAATTAAGGCTTTGTTTGACACTGCTCTGGCTCCAATCTTTGGCACTAGTGAGAAGCTGGAACCACACTGCTAGACCCCGCTAAATGGGCCAAGGCGTTGACCCGGTTTGGTGGGCTGGGCCGGTGGACGAGATACTGCAGCTCATGGTGCCGGCACTGTAGCAAATAAAAGGTACCAGAAGCACGGCTTTAGTCCCACCTCGGAATGCAGAGGGGACGAACCACCTTTTAAAAGCCCGGACTCGGAGGTGGTTAACTCCGGATCGATCTTTTTTGCGCCAAGCGGCGATGAAAGCGGTCGTAGGCGTTGATATTTGTTCTACAAATTTGGTTCGCCGCTCTCGTGCGAGGACGCCAATTACTGAGGGTGGGTGGATGTGAACCCAACCCAATGGGCCATTGGGCATTGTAAGCGCCAGATTAGTACTACTCGTGAAGTCGAAATGAGTCAACCAAATTAAAAGCACGGACCTCGAGAGGTCAGTAACTCCGGATCGATTCTTTTGCGAGAACGAAAGCGTAAACGAAGTTAATTAGCGAGCATGGTTCATTCAACGTGTAGAGTGGATCTGCTTGCATCATCCAAGTCAAACGTTACACACACCGAATAGCCCGAACAGAAGGATGCTTCGGGATTTGTGGAAGAGGAGCCAGAGCTGTTTTGACGCATACGGTTGCGTAACCTACGGTTTGAGTGCTTCTCCTCCTGGCTCTAGCCACGCATAGAGTGAACCCATGATTTTGATGTTTCTACTTTTTTTTTTTGAAACAAAGATGAGAGCCTGGCTTTTCAATTAAGACGTAATGAAGTTTATATACAAGCAAAGGTAACCAAGCTGTGGTGCAAACACCGCGAAAAGGTTAGCCCACCCACACAACACGTAGAGTATTACACTACCATGAGTCGCGCATAATGAAAGTGGTACGCAAAGCAGCCAGCAGCCCGACTTCTCATGGCAAAACACCGGATTTACCCATCCTAAGATGATGTACCAACGAGCACAAGCGAGGAGGCAACAGATCATCGCCGAAGGTGCTCAACGGCTCGCAAAGAGCAGCTCCGACTTCCGCCTTGATCACGCGCCGCTCACAAGTGGCGATTGCCGAGCCGCGCAAAGCTGAAAGGCTCCAACTTGTGCCGATAGAGTTGAAGCGGCGCCAAACACAACATAAATCTTCGAAGATGGTATTGTCGACTCTGTCATCATAAACATTAAAAAAATCCATCCTCTTCTGTGATTTCAAAATATCCTTCCAGGAAACTAGTATTACAGTAGGCTCTTTGCTAAGGTGACACGTGCCGTTGGGGGGTGCCAATTTCTTTTGGCAAAACAGACCCTACGGTTACTTCATATCACGTTAGCCTCAACGTCATTCTTTCCTCCCTGTCCCCACCACGCCTCGCGCCTCGCCGACGCGTCCGTGCGGACCTGGCACTACCACCGTCCACCGGAGCGGCGGAGCTGAGCAATGCGAGGAGGCGAGCTGATGGAGGTGGCATCCGGGGACGAGGAGCTGAAATCGCTGCTCCAGAACTTCCATCGCGTGTCCCAGGTATGATACCAGCCGCGCCGCACCCCTTACTGCCCGGTTCTACTTACACTACGGTCCTCCGGCCGCGAACCGCGTTCGCGGTCCATCCGCGATCCGTTTCAGTTTGGTTTTGAATGATCGCGCTCTGCGTTGTGCTAGCCTGCTCAGATCATCGGTGGTTCGTTCGCGTGTTGATCCAGTGACCAGTTCGAGAATTGGAAATTCTAGTGACCGTTTGTTTAACCTCAGTCTGTACTCAGGTAGCGCGTGCTCACTGTTCAGCGCGTGCTCGATGAAATTACCGAGTGATTGCAAGTGGAGAGTGGGTGCCTCCGTTACATTGGCATGTTTGACAAGATTTCCTGTTCAGAGAGTGTAGCATTGTGTTGTTGGTCTGCCTGTTAACTGGATGTTGTATTTGGACCATGTTGTGGTTGCCTTGCTGGTAGATATACAGAAGTTCACTTGCTTCAAACTGTCCAGTTCGAGTTTACATTACCTAAGGAAGATGGCCTGTGTTATATGTTTCGTAGTACTCGTTAGCATTTTCTGTCCTTATTGGTCTTGTGTTGTCTTCGGGGTTTTTTTTTTCTGAACAGGGGTACAAAGATGCACTTACGGAGGTCCAGGCTTTAAGAGTAAACTGCAGCACTGAGTTCAAAAAGGCGTGAAGCTCTTGAATCACATATTACAGATCTTAAGAAAGGTTAACCACTTCAGATGTTTCTACAAGTTTAAGCTTTAAGAGACTGTAAATTATACAGTAGCTAATCATTTACTTCTTTCCTGAGATCGAAAGAAATGATAACTTCTCATGCTCTGCAGACAATGAGCGATTAAGAAGACTATACACAGAAACTTTATTCAAGTTCACCAACCAGGTAGGTTGCTACTTACTTTGTGCATTTATAAGGTGGTAAAATTGTACTACTGCATATTTCAAGGCTAGCAGGTGCCATTTTCACCTATGATCTAATTGAGAACAGGGGTTCTTCATTCCATGGAAGCATTTTAACATATCCTGATGGGTGATGTCTAGTTGATTGCGAAATGCTTCTGTAGTTTGGTCTTGACTTTTTGTTACTTTTGCTGGAAATGTGGAACCAGTACAAGGACATGTATTATAATGGGACCTCAGTGTGTCTCAACTGTTCAAGGACTTTGAGATGTCTGGGGTTGTCATCAAATATTATTATTATGATATGTTCTTTGTTAAGTATGCTGTGCCTATGATTGTTAATAAAACTATGGATTATTTCTGATTTGACTGATTCTATTCAGGTGAAATTCCCACGCAGAAGCTCAAAGCCTGAAGGAAGAGCTGGAAAAGGCAAATGGTAGATTGCTATCCATGGAAGAGGTAACAAATTGCCTCCTAACAGCTAAGCGTCTGGGTAATCCACAAATTAATCTGCATGTGTCAATTTAATGCAGGAGCACAAGAGGGAGACTGAGCAACTTAAGCACAGCAGTGAAATGAAGAGCAATGCCCTGAGAACAAGCTCAGGTAAGAAACTATCTTTTGAGGGCGGCTGCATATGACCGCCGAGGAATCATATTCAGCCAATATTTTCCTGCTGGTTGCTTTGTGAAAACTGAATGAGCTACCGACTTTCACTGCAATCAGCCACGCCCTTGTTCAGCAAGCAAGAGATGAAGCTGCAATGAAGCAACTGAAGTTGGAGCTGAGTGCCCATAAAGCTCACATCGACATGTTAGGTAGCAGGTTGGAGCAGGTTACTGCTGACGTGCATTCTCAGTGTAATGTTCTTAACTTCCTTCTACGTTTAAGATTAGCCCTTCTTCTGGAATAGAGTCTCTTATTCTTATCCCACCTGATGGCAATTCTTCCTGGTTCCTTGTACAGATAAAAATGAGATCCAGGATTTGAGGGATGTGATTTCTGTTGAACAAGAGGAGAAAAAGGACATGCACAGGAAGCTTCAGAATGCAGAAAACGAGTGTAAGTTCAAGCTGAACTGGTCAACTGAAAAAAGGAGATGAGTTTCTGCAAACAGCAGACATCATGTACCAATTCAAACAGGGAAGAAAAGATGATTTGTATCCTCAACATGCTTATTAAGTAGCGTTCCATGGGCTTGCCTTTGAGTTCTGAACAGGGGACAGAAAATATGAACCGCCACGGCAACCCCTTGTTTGGTCTTCAGAAAGTAGTTGAAATTGCCTTAGATCTTGTCAGCGCATTGCTTCTTGGCGGCTTTAACTTGTTCTTGTTCATGATGCAGTGAGGATCACGAGGATGAAGCAGGCGGAGCAGCAAAGGGATTCCGTGTCGGTCCAGCACGTGGAGACGCTGAAGCAGAAGGTGATGAAGCTCCGGAAGGAGAACGAGTCCCTGAAGAGGAGGCTGGCGAGCTCTGAAGCCTGAACTGGACTGCACATGAAAACTGCAGCTCCTGACGCAGTGACGTTTGTACATGTATCTCAATCATCCGATAAGTGTCAGGTTGAGGTAGCTGTTCGTTCATTGACAAGCTGCATGTGCCACACAGTAGCATGCAATCGTTTCACTGACTGCAGCAGATCTCCTTCCACGCAGCAGCATCGTGAATTCGTGACAAACCACGGACATTACCTACTGTCTGTCAGATGCACTCGACGCTTGTGCGATGTGCGAATGTGTCCATGCGGCTCGTGGTTGCGGACACCTTGTTTAATTTGTTTTGGGCCAGTGTGCCGGCCCAGGACCCGTTAACCCACGCGCTGCCTGTACGTACAAACCGCCCTCCCTTCCTCGGCACGCCAGGCCGCCAGCTGGCTGGCACGGCACGCACCGCCTCCGTCCGCGGCGTGCGTGCCTGATGACTGATGAACAAACTGATGAATGATCGCCGCCGCTCTCCTCGCCTCCCTGTTCTATTCGTTCCCGCGTCCACTGCTGCACATTGTCGCCCCGCTTCTTCCACCCTCTCCTCCCTTTTTCTCTCCTCCGTCCTCTAAACCGCCAAGCCAACCCAAAACCCTAACCAAACCCCGCTCCGTGCTCCCGAGTCCTGACGCTTGGACGCCACCACCTTGTACTCCCACCCCAATGGAGCACGCGCTCTGCTCTCCCGCCGGCGCGCCCGGCCGGTCCCTCACCACTACGGCGCCTCCGAAGGACCAGGCGCTGCTCCTCCCCCCCCTGCTGGGATCGTCGCGTCCCGAGCGCCTCGAGGGCTTCGTCGCGCGGCCTGCCGAGAGGACGCCGCGGACGAGGGGCAGCCCCGGCGCCGGAGGGGGCCGCGGCCATCAGCGCCGCTCGACGCCGCGGAGGTCGCCGTCGCCGCCGCTCCCTCTACCTCCCCCTACCCCGCTCGGATCGTCGCGCCCCGAGCTGGCCGCTGTGATCCGCGTCCGCCGCGAGAGCGACCACGACGCGCCGCGTCGAGGGAGTGCAAGGAGGAGCGGCAGCCCCGGAGCGGGAGGGGACCGGCGCCAGCGCCGCTCGACGAGGCGGAGGTCACCGTCGCCGCCGCTCCCGCTACCTCCACCTGCCCCTGCCCTTCCCCTGCTCGGATCATCGCGCCCCCAGCTAGACGCTGTGGTCCGCCGCGAGAACGACCACGACGCGCCGCGTCGAGGGAGCGCAAGGAAGAGCGGCAGCAGCCCCGGAGCGGGAGGGGACCGGCGTCGTCAGCGCCGCTCGACGACGCGGAGGTCACCATCGCCGCCGCTCCCTCTACCTCCCCCTTCCCCTCCCCCGCTCGGATCATCGCGCCCCGAGCTGGCTGCCGTGGTCCGCCACGAGAGCGACGACGACGCGCGGCGTGGAGGGAGTAGGAAAAGGAGAAACGACAGCCCCAGAAAAGGAGCGGGAGGAGGCCGCCGCCGGGAGAGGCGCTCCCCGCCACCGAGGTCGCCGTCGCCCGTGCCGCGCAAACGGTCTCGCCGCGGGAGGTGAGGCCCTCGTTTGCCTTTCGTGCATTAAGGCTCACGTAGGTTCCAACTTCCAATCCAAGCTGATACGATGATGCTAAAGTGAAGTTCGTTTCCGCCTTTTGTGTTTTGGGGATTGTGTTCCTCAGCTCCCGGAACGAGTGCGGGCGAAATGAAGGCAGGAGCAACCGTTCCTGCAGTCGTTCTTGCTCTCCAGGTATGTCCAGAATCCAGCCTAATTCATTCACGCAATCGTGCATGGAATTCATGTCGGTGAGTTTGATTGGCATCAGCAGTGTGTGATGGTCATTGGTGTGATATGCTGTCTCAAGCTGCCAGCCCTCACTCTTCTTCCATATTAGCATAAAGTTGACGAGTCTGCGTCGCTATTCGTGGAAAGTCCTCACCAGTTATCAGCCTTCTAAATAATACTTTGTAACTGAAAAATTGGGCATTGTTCATCTGTTTAACATAGGTGGGCACCGGATGACTGATCAGAGCAGAGGGCATTGATCAGAGCATTTGGTTGGGACACAATCACATTAACAGCTTTGGAGATCGTGTCTCTACGTCGTGTTATAGATTAAACACATAGATAGGTGGGCACCGGATGGCTGATTCAATTGCCTAGATACGCAATTGCACAATGCACCCACATATATCAATAAAGAATTTGAGTTGTGCCTCTCAGTGAATCAATGTTAAACATCTCCAGTAATCAGTGGCTTTATTTTCTTGTTGGCACCCTTTGTAGGGTAAACTAGGTGAAAACCCCGCGCGTTGCTGCGGGTATTGGAGGAGATGTATTACTGTGGTTAGCAGTAGAAAGTGTGGTTTATGAAATAATGAGTGATGATTCTTTAAACCAGAAAGATATGTTAAATAGATTGAGCTATTTGTTAACTGTTAATGTTAACTGAAAAATCAAAACATAGGATGAGTTACCTTATAACGTGGCATGGTATTGACAGATTTTTTTATAAATTTTAGATGAGGTAGGACTATATTAATAAATTGTAATAGAACTTTCATAAACCATCGTGCATTTGTAAAATACGAATAGTATGACATGATATATAAAAATGATGATTAGAACATTACAGGTTTATTTACCAATGAATCTCTCCTTCCCCGTCCAGTTATCCATCTGTTTGCACCTGTACTATATAGGCAGGATGACACTCAGTTGCCACATCGATGAGCGAGCTCAAATGATAACACAAAAAAACAAAGTTGTAGGGAGTAAAAACTAAGCTTTTACATCATGGGACATATATGAAAGAGGATAGAAAGAGAAAAGGCCACATGTGCTAGTGGGGTTTTGCTTTATAAGAGTATAGGATTTCTTGTATAGAGTTCCTATTAACTTGATAGCACGAGTTAACATCAGTACTTGTGTGATTCCTAACTGCAAAGGATCAGATTAATTTGGTATTATTTGATAAGAAGACAAACTAATGAATAAACAAAGCCCATGGTCTTTCATGTGTTGCCTGACAATGTGTCACAAAAAATGACTTCTTGCTTATTTCAGATAGGCCTTATTCAGGATATGGTGCTGCCACTATTGGTCAAGATAAAACTGGAAGGTATGCAAGCTTTGCCCAGTGGTGGATGTGTTTGATCTGCTTGCTTGTTGATTGCTGTTAATTCCCGTGTACTGTGGGTGTTCTGTTCTTCCATTTCTTCTATTAAGTTTCTTTTCGTTCCGTTTTAATTTGAACCTAATGGATGACTACTTGCATGTCCACTTATATTATTCTGAATGATTCTAGGTTAGGATTAATGACATACAAACAATTTATCCAAGTTCTTGAGGATGATGTTTCACCAGCTCAAGCTGGATGCAGGTAATCGATGCCAGAGAATACAACTTGGGTTCGATTTAATGGTAGCTGTTACAACTTCTACTTGTAGCTCACGCCCATGATATTGTTTGTTCTGTGGTTACAAGGTACCAAGAATACAGGACAGAATACATAAATACTCAGAAACGTGCTTATTTTGATCTCAATAAGAATGAAGATTGGTATGCTAAAAGCCTTTGTTTGTTGAGGTGTTAATTGTACTATATTAACTACATGATTTGATGGTTCCTTGATTTTGATTTAATTTTAATTGCAGGTTGAAAGACATGTACCACCCAACAAAATTGTTATCAGTTATCCGAAGGTGAGAAGTTTGCTTGCCCATTGTTCTCAAAGAAAGCCTGTGTATAGCACATTTACAAGAGACCATAATAGTTCATTTTGATAAGTGTTTTTCTGGTTGCTGATTGCTAACCGTTAGTGTGTCTTATTTTCTTCACTCAGGAGGAATGATTTTTGCAAGACTGTAGCGAGGAATTTGATCCTTGACCTGCGGAATGGAACTTTGGACCTGTGAGATGCACTCTATATAATCTGTGTCATTATGATTATTGTGATTTTGTTAGTTTTGCTGATAATTTGATATTTTGATCTTTGGTCTAGTGGTCCTGGAGTGACTGCTGATGCAGCAATTAAATCAGGAGAAGGCAACGATGGAAGCTCTGAGAATAATGCAGCTTATGGTGACAAGAAAAGAGAACATGGAAGAGGTCCCAAGAAAGAGATCGAACTGCTTTCAGCTGCTCCTAAAGCTCATCCAATCAGTTCACAGCATCGAAGGATTCACACCGACATACGCCGAACTCTTGCTTTGGTGAAAAAACTTGATTCAGAGAAGGATATTATGGAAAACATCCTGTTAACTGGTGATCATGGCAAATCAAATGTTGATAAATCATATGTTAGGTCCATAGCGCCTGTCGTTATTGTCCAGGGCTTAAATACTGTTAAGGGCCTTGAAGGTGTTGAGCTCCTAGACACTCTCCTTACTTATCTGTGGCGTGTCCATGGTGTTGATTACTATGGCATGTCTGAGATGAAACATGCAAAAGGTTTTTGCCATGTGAGAGCTGAAAACAAGAGTGACAGTATGGCTGAAAACATCAGTGCTGCTGATTGGGAGAAGAAACTGGATTCCTTTTGGGAAGAAAGACTGATGAATGGTCAGGATCCTCTAGTTGTATTGACTGCCATGGACAAAATTGAAGCAGCACTTGTTGAAGTTCTAGAGCGTTATGTCAGAAAAATGCGGGATGAGAAGTGCGTCTGTAAGTATGGTTGTGGAGCCAAGGGATGCGAAAAACTTTTTCATGCTCCTGAGTATGTTCACAAGCATCTGAACCTCAAGCATCCTGATTTGGTCTCTACTTTGGCATCAAGAGTTGAAAATGATATATATTTCCAAAATTACATGAAGTAAGCCCATACACAAGTACACAACTGAAAGACCACTGAATCAGGAGTAACAAAAAAGGTGATGCTTCTCTATTCTCTTTTTGATGCAGTGATCCAGATGCTCCAGGAGGAAAACCGCTTATGCAGCAAACGGTACCTGTAATAATCTTTGGCTCGTTTAGTTTGTCCCTGTTACTTAGCCTTTCCGTTTTCTTCTTTTTACAGCAGGACAAGAAAAATGTGATGCTTCTCTATTCTCTTAATATGAACTGCATGATCTAGAGTCTTTCTCTGTATTACATGATATACTGTACAGTACATTGTAGCAAACTGCTCATTCCTTTGATAACTCTTCTTGTCATACAATACAATTGCCTCTTAATTTTTTTGTTTGACCCTATTGTAAACTAATGCTTTACTCTTCCTTTAGAAGAAGGAAACTAAAAAAATGTCAATTTTCACTTTTCCAGTCACCTTAAGTTTACTGCTAAAGAATTCACGTGTTAATAGAAAAAATAATTACTTTTCATAGAACCTCAGAAAAAGTTACATATCTAGTTGGTGAAGTGGGTTTGTTTTGACCCAATTATATTTTATCGTTTCATTTCTGCTAGCTAATAGGTGATGTTTCTTAACATGCTGGCTTTGCAGTTTAACGTCTTTGTTGATAACCATACTTTCTCATTCAGGATAGAATGAGACGAAGGCTGGATGAACAGATGTTTGATGCTTCTGGTGTATGGGGTTCACATGCTCCACTTCTCCCCATGTGTGCACCTTCACTAGTACTAATACCTGTGCCTGGTGCTGGGTAGGTTACGAATGCAAGTCAGCTAATTACTCGCTTAAGAGATCCAGGCTGTCTACTAAAGCTGGGTACTTTGTTTTCTTCTTTTAGCCCATATGGTCCATTTGTTCCTGCACCTCCAGAGATGGCCATGCAGATGATTCAGAAAGGACTTCCAGGACCAGATTCTGCTCAAAACAGGAAGCCTTCGGTGCTGGGACCAATGCTGCCCATGTACCCATCATTTCCGCTTGGCAGTCACATCTACAGGAGGTTAGTACCCCTCTAATCCACTCTGTCTCAAGAATTTATGACATTTAGTTTGCTTTTGGTGGTAGACATACCAGCCAAATTTTACTCATCTACTTCCCCTTGGGTTAGGTAAAAAGATTCTGAAATCTTCTTCTTTTCTGAGACAAAAAAGACTGAAATATTTGTCAGATTGCTTCGTGGTATGCAGAATTTAGTGTATTGCCGTATAACTACGTGGCTGCCACATTCACTTTAATGCCATGTTTAGCATGGTTTTCATCTGTGCTTGCTTGTTTCGCATGCAACTTTGTAACTATGAAAGATTCCCACTATGTTATAGCTTTGCCGTGTGGCAACTGATTGTGGGGTTGAAAGACTTGATGAATGTTTTGCTGTTTTATTACTTGTTTACTCGTTGGAGCAGAATGTCATCATGAATTCATTGTCGTACTGAACCCTTTCATTCATCGACTATCTTGTAACTTGTTCCTTACTCTGGTTGCAGTTACCAAGACCTTGACGCTCCTATGGAAGAAGTCTCCGCTCTTGACTTTAGAAGTTTGTAGAGAATTTCCGGTCCCCCTTGCTAATTGTCCTGATAAGCACAGCTAGTTCACACGGATAGAAAAGGTATAACTGACATGAGAGCAGGTTACATAGTATTACTGAGGCATGAAAAATAGGAAAGTTTTTGATGTGCTATCATGTTCTATAGGTTGTAGCACGTCCTCCGCTCATATATGAGGGGACTTTAGGTAGAATACGTATGCAACGGTTTATGGTTGTCCTGTGTTCACTCGGTATGTGAAACAGAGGGACATGGTCCAGATTGCTTGTAGTTTATGCTGGATGTGTCGAGGAAAGTCTCTTTTTTTGACCCGATATGATAGATATGAAGAAGGGGATGCTCAGAAGAGCTGGCCATTATTAGATGTATAATACTCAGTTTGTTATGGTTCGGCTGCGAATGGTCTTTCCTAAGGGAGGCTAATAAATTTCTCATATTTTTAAGTTTTACTGATGTTATGGTCTTGGTTAATCCTCATGGTATTTTGTGTGCGAATTTGTCACCAGGGATGTTATATTTTGTTCTGGCACGATTCAGTGCCACCTGATGTAATCGAACTGGATTTTCGCAAGGAAAAAAAAGATGTAATCGAACTGGTAGTCGCTGGTGCTAATGTGTGTGTGTTTTTCAAATTAGTGGAAAATAGTTTCCATCTAAAAAATAATGATGACACTTGCAAGTGCCACGTTAGCTGTTTCACTGGCGACATTTTTGCGAGTGGTTGACACTTGTAGATATATTAGCACTTTTAAATTGATTTAATTCCTAGGTAAATCACGAACACGAACACAGGCCAAGCCCGTGTAACATGAGCACAATCTGAACATTGCTGGAACAGAAGAGACCTACACATAACGAGATCTACGTCTACCATGCTCAAGAATAACAGTGACATGGAGGAAGATAAGCCAAAATCTTATTCGTGGATCTTAAGGGCAAGAGGCTTGCTCACTTGGGGCTTCATTCTCATTAGTACTAAATGAGGTGTCATGAAAATGTGATGATATGACACTAGAGTTACGAAAAGCGAGGTGTGAGGGACTCTGATATAAATTAAACTTGGTGTGTGCACTCTTTCTGAGATTGGGAAGTTGTTCCACATGAGCGCTAGAGCCAAAAGTTTCATTTCATCACACGATCCTCCAACCTCATGTGTTGTGTATTAAATTAAATGATATGAATAGCCTATGAAACAAAAAGGAAAGACATTACACATTTGAGGTATTTGCTTCATTTGTAGACTCGAAATCACTCAGCCTGTTCGCTGGTTGGTTTCTGGGCTGATAAGTCCAGCTGGTGCTGGTTTGTTGTGAGAGAGAAAACACTGTTGGCTGGTTGATAAGCTCTGGCTGAAACCAACAAGCGAACAGCTATATATGTCGTGACACTCTTGAAAATAATAATAATATGGAACTACCCAATAGGATTATCCTCATGTTCTGTGTGTCACATATTCATGCTCCAACCATTTTCATTATTGTGGGACCCATATCAGGTGCATCTTTTACCATCCTTGTATCTCTCGTAAACACACCAATCAGTCTCCCTCAGGTTAAAAGACAGTGAGATATTGACACTGGTCATTGGATATGGTTTCCATGTTTCGATCACAATAGGGTTAACATGGCCATGCTTTGAGGAGCGGTGATAGAGTATTGACTCGGTGGTCAGCTTAGGATCTTGGTTCTATGGGGGCACGCAAGTGGGAGTATCGTGATTAGGGATACCGGAAGAAGGAAGCTGATGGTCGCGAACGCTAAATCGCTTTCTCCGGATGGTCAAGAGCGTATTTTGATCTCGCCCAACCCCGAAGGTATGGGCTCCGTGTCGCCCGACCCCAATGTGCGCGGGTCTGCCTCGCCCAACCCCTGGACGCGACATCGCCTCGCCGCACCCTCGGGGGGGATTCCGCCGCTGACGAGGGTCCGTACTGCCTCCAACCACTACCGGTTTGAGAGTACGAACCCAGGGTCAAACTTCTGACACCAGAAATAGAGTAGGTGCGTCTTGACGTGACCCGCGGCCACGACGGGCCATACCTAAGGACTCACATTGCCAATAGTATCGGGCATACCGGCGCTATGCTACCTAATCCTTGTACGACCTCCGTCAGGGGTACCTATTGACCATGCCGCCCGCCGGGACGGAGTGGGGCGCCACGACCGGCTGACGACGCCCGCGTGTAGCGCCAGTGGCGAATAGGGTCACGACGTGGAGCCGTCCCCGTCATCATCTACAGGACCGGGGGACCCACGTAAAGGAGATGAAGGGCGCCGCAACCCTAGAGGCCTTCTTCCTCCTTGCTTTTGTCTCTCTCTCCCCATTTCTCTCGAGTAACCTGCGCCTTTTCCTTCATCTATAAAAGGGGAAGCATGACGCCCCACAAAGGGCAAGCAAGCAACGGCTCAACGAGTTCAACTAGACTCAACTCCATTCGATCCTTCCATCAAAGACTTGGGACCTTCTCCCTCTCTCGCCCGTTTGTAGCCCCTGCTACAAACAAGTGCCGGTAACACGAGCAGCCTCAAACTGGATGTAGGGACATTCCGCCCAAACCAGTATAAACTCTTGTGTCCTCCGAGCACACCATCCGGGCCAGACGCGCAAACACAAATTTACTAGTCGATGGTTCGAAACATCGACAGTTGGCGCGCTAGGTAGGGGCCTTTTACGCGTCTTGTTGTCCACAACTGGCCATGGATGGCTAGCCACGACGTTAGCTGGGTCCCGGGGCGTGCACGTGCGCTTCGGGAGCCTAGATTTCTTCGTCACCGCGGAGGGAGAGCTGGCGCGGGCTCCTGCCCCCGTCCAACTTCTTCGCTCCACTGGCCTCGATGCAACCATCGAGGCCCTCAAAGAGCTGCAGCTGCACGCCCCAGAGGCCTCTGCCCCTAGGAGCGACCAGCTCCTCAGTTTCGATTATGGGATTCTAGAGCGCCAGCTTGACGCCTTCCTAGGACCCCGACAGTCCTGGGAGGACCTGCGCTGCCTCGCCTTCTCGTTCGCCAACGTTATGACGTAGCTTGCCGGAGGGGAACTGCTCTCCCTAGAATACCTAACCCGGAGCGCCCCGATAGCGTTCCCGTTCGGATGATGAATTCGTGGATATGACGGACTACCACGAATGACGAATTCGTGGGTATGACGGACTACATCGTGGAATCTTTCCATGACCTTCTCGTGGGAGATTCAGAGACGATCTCTGACTCTGACTCCAGCAGGGGAAGCCATCACCCCTCGCAAGAATGCTTCATGGCAGGCACCCCCAAGGGACGCGTCGAAAGCATCCATGAGGGAGGGCTACTCCTATGAATGACCCCGACGATGAGGTCGAGGGAGATGCAGGGCCCCTGCCTCGCCTACGGGTGGAGCAGCTGACAACACGACACAAGGAGATCGAGGATGTGCGACTCTAGCTGGAGCAAGAGCGTGTGGAGCTTGAGCGCGAGATCGAACACCGTGGAGACAGTGGCCGTGCACGCGCCGTCGCCCGTGACATAATCCGGAGGATCATCGAGGACGACAGATGCCTCCTGCACTTCGCTCGGGCAAGCCAGAACATAGCTGTCATGGCGGCCTTGCTCCGAGGGCACCCGAAGCCCACGACACCCAAAGACCATTGGGCCCATCGCGAGATCCGCACGCTGCTCAAGCGCACGACTGTGCAGTAGGCGAAAAGCTCATTGTCTCGGCGACGCGAGCTCGATGCCAGTCAGCGCGTGTCTTTGGGACGACATGGCTAGGATGTATCCGTCCACCAAACGCCACGCGACGGCGGGGGGCTTGCCATGGTCCCAGTGCATGAGCGTCTCGGCCCCAACCACAATCCATGTAACACCCTGGACGCCTGTAGGCGCAGACGGGGGGACAAGGGTAGGAGGCCGGCCGCGGCTACCACCCTCGTCGTGGCGGACGCTACGATAGCGGTGAGGACTAGAGCCCGAGCCCCGATCTGTCGGGGCCCCAGGCTTTCGGCCGGCACATCCTCAACGCGACTTTCTCGCCGCGGTATCGACCACCGACTAACATCCCGAAATACTCTGTGGAAATGAACCCCGGTCTGTGGCTCGAGGATTACTGACTTGCTTGTCAAGCCAGCGGTGTGTATAATGATTACTTCATTATCCGCAACCTCCCCTTGTTCCTGGCCAATTCAGCGCGAACATGGCTGGAGCACCTTCCGCCTAACCGGATTCAAAGCTGGGCGGACCTGAAAGAGATCTTTGTGAGAAATTTCCAGGGCACCTACACACGCCTCATGAACCCCTGGGATCTAAAGAATTGCCAACAGAAGTTCGGGGAAACTCTCCACGAGTACATCCAATGCTTCTCTAGGCAATGCAACGAGTTGCCCGACGTCACCGACGCTGACGTCATTGGAGCCTTCCTATCCGGGACCACCTACGAGTCCTTGGTCCACAAGCTAGGACGCAAGGGCCCTCAGACCACTAAGGAGCTCCTCGACATCGTGACCAGCCATGCCTCAGGCGAGGAGGTGGTCGAAGCGGTTTTGACTGCCCCATGGGCAAAGCGAAGTGGGACAAGGACATCGACGAGGGCGCCTCCAACCGCTCGAACAAGAAGGAGAACAAGCAGCGACATGGGGGCTAGCTCGTGGCTGCTACCGAGCAAAAAGGCAGCTGGGCGCCCACACGAGGGTGCTCCCGACCACTTCGAGAAGCTACTCGAGGGGCCATGACTGAACCATGCCTTCCCCGTCAAGCACCTGTACAAGGACAGCACCCTCATGAAGCATTTCCTGTTTGGCAGCTCCAAAAAGGGGGACCAGAGGAAGAAGCCTGAGCCAACGGCAGGCGACACCGAGGGGAAGGATGGCGGCTTTCCGACGCTAGATGGCTGTCTCATGATCTTCGGTGAGACAACAACTTATGACTCCAAGCATTGCCGAAAGCTTGCACGTCGCAAGGTCTACACGGTCGAGCCAGCCACGCCATCTTTCCTCCGGTGGTCGGAGTCCGCCATCACCTTTGACCGATC